GTCCAAACATTGTCCTTGTGTAGTGTTAGAGACTCTGGTGTCCCAAATGAATGATTGCTGTGTCTTTTAAACGTTGAACGAAATGTTCATTCCGTCCAACCCTATCCTCCAGCATTTGTGTGGGCATCAATAGTGGCATCCCACGGAGTCCTGGGATTTGTAGTTTAGTGAGGTGCTTTCTGGCAGAGCATTCTAAACAAAGCTGCAAATCCCAGGGCTCCGTCGGATGGAGCTAAAGGGGTCCAAACACTGCAAATGTGTAGTGTTAAAGAGACTCTGGTGGCACAAGTGGATGATAGCCATTTCATTTGAACATTGAATGAAATTTTGACAATGGAGGGAATGAAAAGGGAAGAAAGCCAGGAGGCTGAGGCATCGCTGAGCGCATGGGGACTCTCTCACCTGTGGCTCAACAGTGAAGGTGAAGTGAAAGCGTGGAGACTCACCTGTGCTCTTTCCATTCCTTTCCAGGGCTACCAGCTGTATTTATCACAGTCTGGGCTAGCTTACGAGCAACATTAGCAGACACTGAGTAAGTCTTCACTCGATCTTTTTGCTTTTAAAAATAAAAAAAACACGAAGTAAATGCATCGTTCTTCCTTCGGGTTCCTAGAAAAGAAGAAGGGACAGGGCCTTCTTGGTGGCTACTCCCAAACTTTGGTACTCCTTCCCGAAGGAGGCTTGGATGACTAACACTTTTTCTCCTACTTTGTTGTTGTGTGCCTTCAAGTCATCTCCAATATATAGCAACCCTAAGGCAAACCTATCATGGCTTTTTTGGGGGGGGGGGGCAAGTTTCTTCAGATGGGTTTTGCCATTGCCTATCCCTAAGTCTGAGAGAGTGTGACTTGCTCAAGGTCACCCAGTGGGTTTCAGGGCTGAGCTGGGAATCGAACCCTGGTCCCTAGAGTCACAGTCCAGTGCTCAAACCACTACGCCATGCTGGTCTACGCCTTTTTGTTGTCGTTATGTGCCTTCAAGTCGTTTCTGACTTACGGCAACCCTAAGGCTTGATGGGGTTTTCTTGGCAGGTTTCTTCAGAGGAGGTTTGCCATCACCTCCCTCTGAGGCTGAGAGAGTGTGACTTGCCCAAGGTCACCCCGTGGTACCAGCAGTTAAAGCGTTCTTATCCTGGCAGGGTTTTAGAAACTGACAGGGATGGGCTTTTAGTGGTGTCGTGTGAGGGTTTTTCCCATTTGTATACACTAGTCTACTAAGGAATTTGAATAACTCTATACATTGTTTTTAATGACTTTTATATTTATATTTCTAATGGTGTACAGTATAGGGATCTGTAATGTTTTTAATAACTTGTAAACCAGTTTGATTCCCATCATTGGGGAAATGGTGGGATAGAAATTAATCAGTCAATCAATCGTGGCCCACAATCTGTGATGGCCTTCTCCTCCATGGATTTATCCAGTCTCCTGTTAAAGTTATCCAAGCTGAGGGCTATCCCGACATCTTGTGGCAGTGAGTTCCACAGTTGAGTGTATTAGCAAGTACAGGACCTGTTATTCTGACAATACCTAGGTTATTCTAGAATGAGAAGAAATGCCACAGGATTGGGTCTCCAATATGGCTGAGCAGTGTGGTTTCAAAGCATGGATTGTAACATAACTCCGGTGGTGTTTGTCTTTCCGTAGGTGCTGGGATTTAAGTGCTGGCTATTTCAAATGGTTCATTCAGGTGCCCATCCTCACAGCTGTGATGGTGAGTAGCAGAGACTTGGGTTAGGAGTGACAGAAGAGAAAAAGATAACTGATCATGAGGTTTTCATAGCAAGATTTTTTTTTCAGAGAGGGTATGCCTTTGCCTCCCTCTGAGGCTGAGAGAGTGTAACTTGCCCAGCCTCACCCAATAGGTTTCCACGGCTGATCCAGAATTCAAACCCTGGTCTCCTTGTCCAACGCTCAAACCACTATCTCACACTGGCTCTCTTTTGAAACTACACACCCTCCAACATTTCACAGACAAAAACCAGATGTGTGTGGCTGAGAAACCTGAGCAATTCCAACTTTACAGCAGGTTAGTTAAGACTCTCTCTTTACTAAATCAGAATAGTTTGATACATGGAACACCATGCCCTCCAACATTTCAGAGATGAAAGCTAAGGTGCATGTAGCCAACATCAGAATATGGTCAAGATGGCAAAAGTGATTAATGCAGAAGAACAGACAAGCTAGGAGAGGCTGCAGCAGTTTCCTTTTGCCTGAATCTACAGGGAAGAGCAAGATTCTGCTTCTCTCTCTTTGTGAGTTAACTGAGTGCAGACAACTTTTGCATTTTGAACTTCAGTTTGCACCAACTGAAATCAAATTAGGCTGAAGGGGGAAGTGGGAGGCGGAGAGAGAAACTAGGACATTTTAAAAGCATCTGAAAAAGTGGGATTACAGAGGATTAGTTGGGACTGTCCCCAACAAATCAGAACAATTGGAGGGTACAAAACTATCCTTATGGCACTTGGGGGGAATCAGACTCCCCAAATCTCCTACCCAGCCTGACCACAGCATTGTGGGCAGTGTAGTCCAAGAAAGAAAAGTGACTTTTCCAACCTCTGGAAGCTATGATCCTTCTCACAGTGCAACATTAACTCACTCCAAATTCAATAGGAGCACCACTAGCAAAATCCGAATTGGGAGGAGAGTCAAGGACCGATTTGCACATGTTGGATCCATTTGCTTCGTCTGGATGAGGTTCGGCACATAGAAAACTCAGTGCCTCCTTTTCTCTGCTTCGGTGCAAAACCATTCTTCCTCCCCCCCCCCCCAAAAAACATAAACAAGGGGAAAGCTTGCAATGAAAAAGAATTTGAGCCTAAGAAAAAGGGAAGGGGGAGGAAAACCCTGGTGTTAAGTCAGGAAAAAAGATGACAGGCTTGCTGGGGAATTAAGAAAACCGCGGAGCATGCCATGCTGATGCATCCACAAAGACTAAACAAAAGACATCCCCTGCAACTCATTCACTCATTTGCCTTTGGAAACTTCTTGAGGAAAAAAAAATGTCTCTGCACATCTCCTAGGATCTGCTTCACAGGACAAAATCTCCATTGAAGCCAGTTCTGTGACTGAGATCCTACATGTCCACACATCTAGTGTGGGCAAGGTCCAACAGGGAAAACAACATCCTTGCATGGAAAGAACAACTGCATGAGGGTTTTTTTGTAAAAGAATGCTGGGAGTTGCACAGAAAACAGCAATCTTGTACAAAAGCACATGTGGCTGTCTGGAAACATGTGTCTGCATCACAGTCTGCATTGCATAACTTTACGAATCCATAGCTATATTGCAGAAAAGCAACAAAATCCTGTTGGTGAATTGGAAAGGCGCTTCTAGTATGCATCAGGTGCTCAAGATTAGCAGCAGGAACTTCTGGTATGCACTTGGCTCTTCTGATGCACATGAGATGCTTGTGATGCACATTGGACCCTTATGATGTGCATTAGGCACTTCTCATGCAAACTGGGCACACTGCACACTCTTGTTGTGCTCTGGCCTTTCCTAGCTGATATCCAGATGCACATTGGGAGTGTTTGTAATGTGCATTAGTGCGCATTACACATTGGAGCCAAGCTGAATCAGTCACTTCACTGGCTACCATGGCACAATCGGCACACATACATTGTAACGTCATGGCAGTCCCTACAGTACAAAACTATTCAATTCCATTTCCCACACACATAGTTGCACTTGTGAAAATGTAAGTCCCATGCTGAATTCCAGATAGTGGGGGTTTTCCCGCAAAACCCCATGATTTTTATGAAGAAAAAAAACCCCTGACAACCCACATGTATTTCCATGCAGAATAATTTCCCAAAACACTTTGGGATGCATGTGCAGATACCATGCAAGAGTTGCACAGAAATATTCATTTTCTCTGCAGCAGGGAGAAAACAGTGGAAGCAGTCAAATATTTTCATCCCTAGCAAGGAGTGTTTGATTATTATTATTTCATTTATTAGAATATTTATGTTCCACCCATGTCACGAGATCTCAAAACAGAGTCCGAGTCAAATTGGTTGTGGCAGATTAACACACTTTAAAACAATAAATTTTGAAAGAGTTGAAAGAGACCAAGAAGATGTTAAACAATTTAACATGATCTTAACAGCTTTAAAGGGTTTAAAGAGTTTAGATCCTTGTGAATAAATATTTTGGCATAAACCGGTTAGACCTTCATGGCTTTAGTAAATAAGTACAGGTTGTAACTGTAACTAATGACATTGTAACAGACTAACAGGATGCTAGTGTTACTTAAAATCATAAAATCATAGATTCTAAGTAACAGTGGCATATCATAAATTAGAGTGATAACCTGTACCAGTTTACTTCTTTGGACTACAGCTCCCAGAATGCTTCAGTCGGCACGGCCGTTGGGTCTGGTCATCTGGTGAGGGAACTCAGGAGATTGCAACCTAAATTGTGGTTATGACTTGCTTTTGTCTGTGTGCAGCACTGCTTTCCTTTGCTTTCAGGGTGACAAAACCTGTTATCCTACCTTTTTCCAAAGCTGGTCATCAAACCAAGAAGAACTAACCCTCAGTCTCTAGTGGCACAACTACTATTATTATGAATAATATTGCAGTCATCTTTGCTGCTGATTTTATTACAGGAAGCTCCTGCTTAGCTGACAGGTTCGGGACCAGGGGACTGTCAGAAAGTGGAATTGGTTGAAAAGTGGAACCTAGGGATTTTTTAAAACGTGCAAATGAATTTTAGCCACTGAAAATATGAATAATGCACTATAATGTCACTTTTGAATGTGCAAAAGGTAAATTAATACAGTGTGTGTGTGTGTATGTGTTTGTATAAGAGGTCCCAAGTGAGCCTTATAGGCAAGAAGAACTAATGAAAGGACAGAACCCCTGTCAGATTAATGGAACGTGTCTGCAGTTTGCAAGTGTTGAAAGCACGAGTGGTTGGAAAGTGAAGCATCAAAAAGTGGGGAGTGCCTGTATTTTGGATTTTTTGCTATTTTGCCATTGTTTTACTGTTTTTAGTTTGCATTGTTTTAATGCTTTGTTCACCACCCACTCTGTTTATTGAGCACTAAAAAAAAGAGAGGGGCAGTGAAGAATCATAACCTGAAAAGGAGTTTCAGTTCATCTTTCCCCTCTAATACTCCTCTTTTACTTTTCTCTCTTTTCCTTTCTTCCAGGCAAATTTTATTCTTTTTATTAAAATTATACGAGTCCTAGCAACCAAACTCCGGGAGACCAATGCAGGGAGATGTGATACAAGACAACAGTATAGGTAAGTCACAGGATCATAGAGCTGGAAGGGATACCAAGGGTCATTTAGTCCATCCCCGCTGCCACAACCAAAGCATCCTTGTGAGATGGCTATCTAACCATTGCTTTAAAATCTCCAATGAAGGAGAATCCACCACTTTCCTTGGCAGTCTGTTCCACTGTCAAGTAACTTTTAATCTCAAGAAGGTCTTCCTTGTGTTTAGTCAGAGGCTGCATCTACACTGCAGAATTGATGCAGTTTGACACCGCTTTAACTGCCATGGCTGAATGCTATGGAACGCTGAGATTTGTATTTTTGTGAGATATTAAGCTTTCTCTGTCAGAAAGTTCTGGGGCCACAACAAACTACAAAGCCCAGGGTTCCATAGCATGGAGCCACGACAGTTAAAAGCAGTATCAAAATGCATTAATTCTACAGTGTGTCAGCAACCTCAATCTCCCTTCTTGTAATTTGAACCCCCTGGTTGGAATTCTGCCTTCTGGAGCAGCAGAAAATAAGCTCACTCCACCTTCCATGAGACAACGTTTTGGATATTTTGTGCGTTCAGATGACTGTGGATTATAATATTATGAGCTGGTGTGGCATTTTCAAAAGCCAGCATAGTGTAATGGTTTCAACATTGGACTACAACTCTGAAGACTAGGGTTCGAATCTCGTCTCGGCCATGGAAACTGACTGGGTGATCTTGGGCAAGT